TTTAACCTGAAATCCTCTTAAGGTCTTGATTGCCAATAGGACACAAACACATCTGTGATTTAGAAGCGTATCTTTGTTTTCACATGCTCAAGAAATGAAATTATACTTAATGAAAAGTAATTAGAACTATAGCCCAAGTGATATATATTAGATCATTTTTTCTTAGTAATTTAATTATTAAAAATTCTTTTTATCTCTGTCTTATTAAGTAGGTATACTACTTAAATTATAATCTTGTAGTTAGAATGTTAAAACCATTTTAAAATCTCGAATGACTTTAGACTTCAGTCGTTCCCCATCTTATTACGGCAAAAATGCTCACTAACTGGAACATAAACAACATCATTTTCACCCCCTACTCTATGTTATTTTTCTATTTTTATTACTAGAGTAGTAGCTTAATTATAAAATTTTAACCAAACTAAGCATACACTCCATTCTTTAGAAAACTGGATTTACTTTTTGCCCGTTAAGGCTATGATAATAGCCTAAGTAATGAATTCCACATATTTCTTTTGTATAATATCGCATCATGTTTAGCAGATATAGGATATACTTTATGAAAGACATTTCAAACAAACAATTCTATGCTTTATATGTCAAGTAGAAAAGAATATTTTTATGCAGTAACACAGCAGATTTGACATGTTTATGGTCATATATGATCAAGCTTTTGCAAATGCTGTAACAACACAGAGCAACTCGGCCAAAGGGCAACAAATCCTTCAGTGAAAAAGTCTTATCAAAAGTGGGAAGCCCATTTTAGAAGAGCAGCTGACTGTTGGTTCACTCACCTATCCAAGCTTTAGAAAGTACTTTGAAAAAATCTGATGTAGAAGTCATAGCCAATAAATTTCCAAAAAGAGGATGGGGAACAATCCCAATGTCAATTACATCTTTGCCATTCAGAAACTCAGGCTAATTGGATTTAGAGTCATTAAGAAATGGACAGTTATTTCTCACTAATTATTTACGTTTTTAAGCTTTTTATTTTCAATCTGTATGTCTTAGGTAAAAAGCATCAATTTAAGTTTATTTACTTGAGATTTTCTATTGGCACATGCTTTTACTAAACACAATTTTTAATAATTTTTAAAAAGAAACATTTAATTTTGAAACAATCTCAAATTTATAGAAAAGGTGGAAGAACTATGCTAATACGCTACATCACCCCTGATACCTCTACGTGCATTTCCTCCAGCAAAGATATTCTCCTACATAAATCATAATGTGTCCATCACAGTCATCTCAGATTGAGCTCCAACTCTTAATCCTCGATTTTGTTCAAGTTCAACAATTCCAATAAAGCCCTTTATCACATAAGCATTTAATACGGAATATCACTTAGCTGCCATGCTTTCTTAGTTTCCTTCTATCTGGAATGCCTCCCTCCTCAACTCCTCACCCCACTCAACCTCTGACAACCTGCTATATGGGTCACCATCAGCACCCTCTCCTGTCCCTCCATGTCCCCACCCTTGCCACTCTGTGAATGCTGTCCTTACCCTGCTAGGCTTCTGAATACTGTGCGGTGCCCCGGGCCTCCACACGGACACCTGCTTGCTAGGACACCATGGATGGCTTTGGACTGAGCTACTCAATAAGAGAAGAGGAATAACAAGTAATTTGCTTTTTTCTCATGATCAAATCAATTTGTTGGAATTGACTGTCATTTCCATGGGCTACTTATGCTCTACAAAGTATGTTCATATAAAATTTGGAGGAAGTGAATAAAGACATCTGAACTCCATGTTTTATGGAGTACCATTTGACACTAAAATTAAGAGTCTGTTACTCATCTACAGATTCTTTTTCTTAAATGGTATTACTAAAAGGTCCAAATTAAACATCTGCTAAAATAATTATCTTTATACTCTGGGAGATATTTTTCCTGACACATTCCACATCATAAATGGTTTTACTAACTAACTCACACACTCTATGGTAGGTTTATACTTCTTTCCCCAGGCCTGGCTAGCAAACTTGAAAAATATAACCATTTAGGGGGAAAAAATATGAAACAATTAAAAGTGTTTTTCCCGAAGAAATGAATAAATTAATCCACTGAAAAGTTACATCAAAGGCTATTACTCAGCATTTTATCAATTATAGGCATTTCTGAGAAATCCACCCAGACATTTGATCATTTGTCTCTGGGATCATTGCCCACAGCTGAATCATTCTCTTTATTCTTCCTGTTGTTTTCAAGGGCTGGATGGGAGCAGTAAGTGACCTTTCATTCACTCTTAGGGAGACAAAGTAATAGAACAGGAAAAGAAGTTATGACTAATCAGATTCTTATTACTAGGCACTGATACTGTTTAACCCAAGGTACAACGGAAGTCAAATGCTCCCTGCTCCCCTTCCCGCACCCAACATTGTCTTGGTGTCAAGACATAAAGAAATGGTAGTCACAAGCATGCTTGTAACATACAGAGATGTTTGCAAGTCTTTATTCCTGTCCTTTGGTAATAAGTGAAGAAATCAACAACAGATAAAACAACATAAAGAAAATGCAAGACTCTGTATCTGTCCCCAAAATATTATTTCCTCTGAATAGTTCAGAGGAAAAAAACAGGTGACTTGTTTATTGCTTTTACATTAGCAGTGACTATCATAAAATGCAAAAAGTGCAGTCCAGTCTAGATATTTCATCTTCAGAAAGATGAAGAGTATGAGGATAATTCGAAGTAGTCAAAACAAACAAAAGAGCAAATCTATGAGGATTGAAGTTAAGAAAATTATTTTCCTTCAAGCAGAATTCTCCTAAGATAAAATTTTCCCATTTATTTGTCAGATCAACTAACATTCAAGCAAAACATATATACTCCCTAAAATATCAAATGTTTAGAGAGCTCCTCCCATGCCCTCTCTGCACGCGAGCCAATATTTCATGCCACCGTCAACAGGCTCCCTTGGTGGATGACTGATTTGCTTCTGGAAAACGAGGTGTAAATAATATGAGCAAGTCGTGGTGTCTGCACGAGACAGAGACTTTCAGATGCCCTTATTGACTTGCTCACTGGTACTCAAGAGGGTTCCTTCTTGAAGATGTTATATAGTTTATCTGGAAGAATTTCTTGATCTAAAAGGTAATTTAAAATTAATAAAATGTATTCAATATAAATATGCTAAAAGTTTCTTTATCAAAAAAAAGACTGAAAAAACCCCCAAAAAACTAGAAAAAAACCACAAAAATTTTAGGTGACATCCAGCCACTGGTGAGAACTAAGTTTGGTGATAAATCCATTTTGAACATGTATATGTGTTCTGCATAGATAATCTCAGATGACCTCTACTCTTTCGAGAAGAATGTTCACCATAAAAGAGAACAGCTTAACTTCTGTCGGCTTCTTAATCCTTCCATTGGTTTCAAGCAAAATACTATCAATACAACTAATCCTGCACATGAAAAGTTATCACAACCATGGAATGGCTCCGCTTTCCTCAAGGAAAGGCTGTCTGATGCCCTGTTTAGAGAATAGTAAGAGTGACCTCTAGTGATTTACTTTGTTGTTGTATTTTACCAGTATTTTAGAATGCCTTTCTATAATATAAGTAGTTCATTTCTCATTTATGTATTTATTTAAACAAAATAGCAGTTTCCACTGCAGGACCCAAGGATTTTTATTTGAGATAAACATACGTGTTTTATTCACAAGCCTTTTCACAAAAGCAGATTAAAGCTGAATCTGTACATTTGGTACAGCATCTGCCCAAAGGGGTCAGCAATTCATTTTGGAGTGGCACACACAGGGTAGGATTAAGTGAGGAGGACGGAAGGACGGTGCACACTGTCCTCACGGCTCTTCAGGGCAGTACGTGGGAAGGATCCAGGCTTGAGCCTTCGGGTGGGACAACACTGAGCTATGGCAAACTTTATAACGACAGGATAGGTAAACTGCTGAAAGCCACTCGTGGCTGTCCTGCAGCAATCTAAATTTCTGAATATGGTCACTAGCATTTATCTGAACTGATTTCAAAAGAGATTTTGGTAGGAGGGAGGATGAGCCTGACAGTGGAGAGATTGCAATGAAAGAAAAATAAAAGTAATCTTAGTGCAAGGAAGATATTTTTTAAAACTCTAATTCATGATTGCTTAAATTAATTAAGAAAGGAAGACATCTCCCTCATGCAGACTTAATCCAAGCAAAAAAATATTTTAATATTTTTTGTGTACAATAAAATTGGGTGCATTAGGTTCTGCTCAACTATTTGGAATATATCATGATTATATTAGTATCATAGCCCATTCTAGAAATAAAGGCTTCCTAAATTTTTACCAAATCAAGGAAAATCAAAAACAGAGCACACAATGACAAATTAAATAATGTAAAATAATTGTCAAGATCACCTAAATGACTGGCCAAGTTTTGTCTTTAAGCAAGAACTCAGTACTTTTAGAAATGAAGCCCCCTGTCAGGGGAGTGTCCAAGTGGTATTCCCATAGTAATCAGGGCCGGTTATTAATTTTGGGATCTTAAATTTAGGTTCCTCTAAAGCTGCTCTGTCCCTGTAGTGCCCAGGACTTAATTAGTACCTTAACTCTGAAGCTGCCAAGGTCAGCAAAACTGTATGCTGCTAACATCCAAGTTGATGCAGTATGATGTAATGTCTGCCAGTTATTTCCCTGTTAGGCTTAATTCCTATAAGAGGCTAAAATCCTAAAAAAGGAATAAATGACAGTATTTACAGGCTAATCCTTTGCCAAGATATTATTTTCAGATTTTACAAAACGTTCACTGTCTCCATGAATATTCGAATATATAGATTTAAAAAAGCATGCATTATATATTTTAGACTCCCCCACAAGAGGAAAGTCTATTGTAAACAAATTCTATTTTTCAGGTTGCAATTCAATAGATTTTTATTACAAGGGTTTTTTTTTTATTATTTTCAGGAGCATGCTCTGCAATTCCCACTCCAAATATTACCGATGATAAAAATACAAAGTTTTCCAGTTAGCCTAGTGCAAGTTTGAAAGCATCTGCTGTACTTACGTGGATTTCCTGCTACTACCGGGCTCCAACTCTGCGCGGGGAGAAGCAGCAGCAGCACCCTGAGGAAGGCTGGGGCGACTGAGGCCATGCTCACTTTCGGGGCGCCCAGGAGGCAGCGGCGCAGGCTGCTCCGCGTCGCTCCCGCTCTCACTCCGGTCCCCTGCCGCCTCGGAGGCTCGCTCCCCCCGGCCGCCCCCGCCGCACTGGCCGCGCGCGGCGGGAGAAGCCGCAGCTCGCCTCCCCGGCGCACTCCCCTCGCGCCCCGCCCGGCCCCGCGGCGCCTCCGAGGACCCCGCCCCGCGTCGCCGCGCCGGCTCCCGGTCCCGGCTCCCGGGCTGCGCGGCTGCCGCACCTGGCCGCCAGGCGGCGGGTTGGCGGCGCGTCCCGGGCGCACGCCTCTGGAGGTGGCAGGTGGCAAATGCGAGTCTGGGAGGAGAGCGGACCGGAGCCCCCGCGCCCCCCCGCGGCTCTTCCCCGTGCACCTGCAGCCCTGTCCCCACGCGGGGCGGCCGCGGGCCCCACTCAACCGCGTCCCGCAGTCACCCTCTGGCTGCAGGTTGAAAACGCCGGGCGTTACCGCACGCAGGGGCGCACGCGGGGGCGCACGCGGGGAAAATCGTGTTTGTTTCCGTTCAGATGAGAAAGATGCGGCGTGCACTCGCGCAGAGGCGCGCGCTTTCACTCTGCTAGGAATTCTGACTGTACGGAAAGAAGCTCGGAGGGAGAGGGACGCCCAGTTGCAGGGTCGAATCCTGTCTTGTGAAATGTGACTACTTTGTCCAATTTTTTGCATCAAATTTCATTTTTAAAAAATTGCATAAAATGTTATCTTGATTGCTAGGTGTTGCTTAAGGTTTGTGCCTGAGACGAAAGTGATAGTCCCTTAACCGAAGTCCTGGCCCTGCTAGACATCTAAAATTTAAATTTTTTGGATTTGCTGAATACAGAAAAAATAAAAAAAATTAAAAAAAAATAAATAAAAAATAAAATTTAAATTTTATTCCAGCTTTCCATCCAAAGGAGCAGTCCTGCCTGCGGAGCGACGGGCACTCGCTATCCTAGTGGCTAATGCCCAACTTCCTGCCTGCTGCAGGCTGGAGGGCGAAGGACACGGAGCCTCCTCTCCTTCTACTCCCCTAACCCACATTACAGGCAAAAGACTGACAAACTCCCTGAGCTTACCACTGAGATTCTAAAAAATTCTAAAAAAAATTTAGACGATATCTCAATAGAATTAATAGCTATGTGTACTTCGTGTCTTCTCTTTGGAAAGAACAGCTTTGAAAATATCCTTGAAAGGCTTTTTCTTCATTAAAATGAATTCTAATATGATATTAAGAAAAGTCTCAAGAAGTCATTCTTGAATTATTAATTGGGTTCACATAAACTACTTTTGCACAAGCACTATGTAAATCACACCTCTTTCGTTACGGGGAAAAAACTATAAATCTAAAATTTTGATTGACAGATCAGTTGCCTTGAGTGAGATAGAAACAGAGAAAATGGATCTAAACTGGACCTAAAGTAAAACAACAAAATGTCAACCTGTTGTACTAATTTGTCAGGCATAAGAACAAGTCTTTTAAAAATATGAACTTTCATGTTCAAAGTGTTAGGCTTAATGAAGAAAAGCAAAGAAATTTTTCTATGGTGGCAGATGTGTAATTTTTTTAAAAAATGACTCCATTAAACAATAAAATCACTCTTGTATTGAGTGTGAATGCATTATTTTACTACATAGAGGAATATATTTATATTTATGAATTTTATTCCAAAAACCACAAAATACACATTTACAGTTACACTCAAAATTTGTTCAAAAAGGGCAAAATTGTACATTATATACTAAATGTACACAGTATTTTGTATGCCGAAACCAATAAACATCAGCATTTTTCTTCTAAGACAGGAAGTGCTTGTAATTGATGAGTTGTTTGGGTTATTTTCCCTCCTTGACTTAAAACTCATTTAGGTTTATTCTTTTTTAGTTTTTTGGTTAAGTGACTTGAAGTCCTTTGATGTAAGTATGTGTCTATAAGTGAATTGTATGTTGCTATAATCGCTGCTATACAGTTAGGTTTTCCTTTACATCAGCATGGACACTGCTGTGGTGACAATGCTGGTAATGAACTGTGCGGACTGAGAGTAGAGAAGCCCTAGGAATTACCTTGCCTACCAGCATAGCATCTGCTGCACACACTCTACACTTGCTGGACAAATGAAAGCATAAATTTGAAGTGGCTGATGTAACTAGAGCACCGGATGTCCTAGAAAAAATATTAAATATGACAGATATAAATGTTTTATAGGTTGCAGCTTTCTTCCCCATTTTCCATAATAATGCAATTGAAACTTTGAAACTTTTTGTTTGCCTTCCATTTAAACTTAACCTAGATAATAAATACAATCATTATATTTTATATTTTAGTTTGGATAATGGTTGCATAATTCAACCAGAGTAAGGAGGTAATAAAATCTAATTTATAATAGCACATGTTTAGAATGTTAGTATGTTACACTGGAACAAATGATACCGAGGTGTTATAAATGACTAGCTTAATTGTAAGAATGTGTTTGTTAAGGTGAGCTTTTTTAAAAATTTTTCTAGATCTTTTTGAATTATAGCAGGAACACTTTTACAAAAATTATATATAGAAAATGCTAATAATTACCACAACTATCATCACTCCAATCCCCCTAAGGTAACCAATGCTGAGTAACAGACTACTCTGTATCCTTTCACAATTTTTGCTTTTGTTATATACAAACATATACAACCCTATATACAGGGTTGTGCTTATTTTATTTTAGTGTAGTTTCGCCCTGTACTTTATACTATTATTCTGCAGTTTTATCTTCTCTCTTAGTAATATACCATGTGTGTTCCAATCTATGCTAGAATTTATAGTCCTGGAATTTTCAATTCTAGAAAATAGAGTGAGAATACTAAATGTAACTACATTTGCCTGCCAATCTAATAGCACTTTAAGTCCTAAGTGGGTCTACGCTTACAAGTATGCTACACCTGTAAGCATTCCTTATTTTCTTATAATATTCTTCTAAGCAATGTAATATAGTATTAGATTTTTAAAATACACTACTGCATTAATCAAGACCCAGGAAGAAAGCAAGATTCATTTAGACGATTTAAATGAAGAGACTGTAAAGAAAAGTGAAGGGCCCCAAAGACGAGCAGCAATAGCAGGAAGATATCAGGGCCATGACCAGACAGGCAGGAGGAGGAAAGATTGTCCCCAGAGCCCCAGAAAGCAGAATCCAGGGAGAAGAGCTCCCAAGTGGAAACTGTAGTCATACAAGCAAAAAGCTGCGGCCAAAGGCTGGAAGCAGGAGTGAGTAGGGAAGAAACATTTTGAACCCTGGCTTCTGAATCCGTCCTGTTCCTATTAGTGTCCGCCATTAGCCGGAACCAACTAGAAGCAGGCCAACAAGGCAGCGGGTGACGCTGGGCGGGAAAGGCAAGCAAATAAATTATAAACAAGTTGAAATTTTCTTCCCAGTTTCTTACCACTTGCTAATTGGGAAGAATTGAAAAATTAGGAAAGGATAATAATCAATGGCTATTTCATAAATAATTTGCTTAACTGTTTTATTGTGAATGTTTCTACATAGATTCTATGATTCTTTATTTATATAATATGATACGGCACATTAACACAGATATATAAAAAATACCTTCGTGTCCATGTATCAAAGAAAACATTCTCTCAAATATTTCCTTCATATAAAAAGATAATCCTCACCCTAAATCTGAGTTAATGTTATCATAAAAAGAGCCAAGTGGTCACAATTACAATGTGACTTTGGAGATTAGAAAATCAATCCCAGACTCTAGCAAACCAATGTTCTGCCATGGAGGTATGTTAGTATTTAGCATGAAATTCCTCGTGGATTTCAGATCTTTCCCTGAAAACAAACTTTAATATAGGTAATACCATCTGAATTTGCATGAGGGATGGGGAGAATGAGAAGAGGAAAGTCCCGGAAGGGGTGGAATGTAGGGGCAGGGCTATGAAGAAGAGTGTTCGTTAGAGATTAAAGATGAATTTATGCACTTTATAGTTTTGCCTAAAGTGAAAACTGATCCGTAAGTGTGTTGCTAGAGAAATACCTCTCTCATTGGGATGCATAAAGTTATAAAAACTTCAAGCTTACAATAATGATATTCTATGTTTGGGACATCTTTTTAACTCAGCTGATCTAAAGATGTAAGGAAACACTGTCCTTACTTAAAAGGAAAGAATTGATAGATATCGGTCTGAAAGAATATTTAGATTTGCCTACATTTGTGTTTCTTGCCTTATGGTAAGCCTAAATTGCTGAGTATAATGCAACAGAAGGCCAGGCATGGTGGCCCATGCCTGTAGTCCTAGCACTTGGGGAGGCCAAAAATGGGAAGATAGCTTGAGGCCAAGAGCTCAAGACCAGCCTGAGCAAGAGTGAAACCCCATATCTACAAAAAATAGAAAAAATTAGCTCCATGTGGTGGTACACACCTGTAGCCCCAGCTACTAGGGAGGCTGAGGCAGGACGATCTCCTGAGCCCAGGAGTTTGAGGTTGCAGTGAGCTATAATAATGCCACTGCACTCTAGCCCAGGTGACAGAGTGAGAGCCTTCCTCAGGGGGAAAAAAATAAAACAAAACAAAGCAGAAACTGTTTTGCCTTGATTTTATCCAGGGAATTCAAATCCTCCCACCAACTAGTTCTGTAAGTCTCAGAGGAGCAGCATGCTCACGCCGCCAGCGGAAGAGCATTGCCTCCTTAAGGAAGCACTTTGACCACCAGGTGGGTGACTCCTGTTACAGAAGGAGGAGGACTATGCGATTCCTCTCCTACTGGTAAGACTGGCTAGTGCTTTTGCAAACACTTTAAAGGCACAATCTGGAAACTAGAAATAAGTATGCAATTAGCAGGCAGTCTTTAATATGTAGTGAAACCATCATACTTTCTTCTGTGGAAAATCTAAGCAGAGATTGTGAGGTGTCCAGGATGGTGGTAATCTACACTGAACATGCCTATCTCGGTGGCGGAAGGAAAATAAAAGAAGGTTACATGGAGGGTAACTTCCTAAGAATATTATATAAGAATGTCTGCAGAACAATTTATCATGCATCTTCTGGTCCAAAGTTTAAAAGAAATTACTGTTGGGTTTCAGGGGGAAAAAAG